AAAAAGAAACTTAAAAAACCCAAAAAACACCAGGTTACATACTGTCTGAGGTTAAATATTTTTCAAGGAAGTGAAAACTATTAATAAGACTATATTCAACGACAAATAAATTTTACTGGTGGTATTCCAATTTGCATAGGAATGAGTAACATTTACAGTTAACTTGAGTTAAGCTGCTACCTTACCACTTTCAAATTTTCAAGTCAACATCTGATAAAGATTTTGATACGAGTAATTACTAATACAGACCAAATTCTGGCTGTTGTCTTTCCTAGTAGTACTATTATATTAGTAACCTTAATTCTAGCGTATGACTTGACAAGAAAAAAAAACCTTTAACAATAGTAAAATTATAACCAAAGTTATATGTACCCTTTCGTACATAACTTTTTATTTTTACCATATATTTTCCCATTTTTCCCATTTTGTTTTTCAATAAGTAAAATTTAAATGAGTCCAAATGTATGTATGTTGATTATCAATTTATGTATACCTTGTTTATTTTATCTCTTAGAAAGCCATCACTTACAAAACTTAATAAATATTCTGTGTAGTATTTCATGTAAATAAAAGAAGTTCTCTGTTTTTGATCATATAGACAGCAAATTTAGACAGCAAATCTAGGTAACAGCTAATGACAGCATGTATACACATATTTTAGAGGTGCTATTGATTCAGCACAATGCATAAAAAGACCTTAGCCTACGTCAGCTTACATATATTTAACAATAAAAGGCTAAATCACATCCTTTGACTCCAAATACCTCCCAATGCAGGTAAACAGAGTTGCCAGGATACACTGAATATTTATTTCAACATTTAAATGGGACAAATTCAAAAGTTTTGGTTATACAACGGAATTATCGATAGTAAACTTTGCATTGTTTCGTGGTTATACACTTTGTCAAAAATATGAGTTTTTCTATAACCCAACATAGTCCTGTAAAGAAAGAAGGCACAGGCTTATTGTTCAGTTCTCTTTATTCGTGTTGCCAAAAGTGCCTTCCATGTATCGCATTCTAGTATTATTTGCTGAAGGTAAAAAAAAAGATAGGCTTATGAGTATTGCTGTGGCTCACAAAACCCTATCATTGATATCAATGAATAGGGGTGTGTGTCATTATATATGGGAAACATTTCCTTATGTTATTTCACCAACTTTAGTTTTTGCATATTATTATGCTCATTATCAGTATACACGTTGTTACATTTTTACATTATATTTTAACCAATTTTGCATTACTTGAATATCCTGTACTAGAATACGTTTTAACAAAATCAGAGGATGTTATAAGTCAACTGTAATGCAGTTGATGTATGTGAAACTTATAACAGTTTCTATATAATTTGAAATATTTTTGTACCAGCAAGAGTTACCTCTCTTTATATTCTGCTTCTCCGCCTATTAATGTTCGTGTATTTCCGTGATAATTCCATATATAGAAGTTGCAAAATCGTTTACAAAATAATGTTAATCGCGTTAGAATGTAAAAGGAAAGTGTGATGTTGTAAACCTGAGTATGTCAAGTTGATGCAGTTACATTCTCAACGTCATGATGCACAGCATTAAACGTATTGTGTACGTTCTATCGTTTACATTTCTACATGTCGCAAATTTGAAGTTATACATTTATAAATACAATTTGCAATTTTGCATGTTAACAGCTTTCATTTTATCAAATCGAGATAATCAAAATGCTTAATACCAGTGCAGTATGTAACTCGATCTCGGATCGACAATTAGATTTTTACTAATCTGTTTAGTAGAACCGAAGTAGGCATTGTCAAGTTTCAAAGGCTGGCTTTTTGGCAACGAATAGCCTCTGTATGTTCCTACCATCTTTAGATTATCAGTTTATTTTGCTGACGGGTGTGACATGAGATTTACGATAAAGGCACAGCATTTTCGCATTACCCTGTTCGGTTGCACATATGCGCATGGAGACATCAATCTGAAAATACCTAAACGTTACAGCTAATGACATTTTTGTACCAATCATTTCTTGTTTGCCTGCGTTAAGTACCGTGAACTAAGAGAAGCACAGTATAATACAATATGATCTAAATACAATATGTTTTTTGAATTTTTTCTATAAATTTTTATTGTTCTCCTTTTACTGATATTCGTGCAATATGGGGAAGACAGAATGACCATCAAGAGATCTTTGTTTTAAAGACATGAGGATCGCCTGACAACATAGTATAATGTAACGGGAAAATGCGAAAATGTAACAATGCGAAAATGTAACAATGCGAAAATGTAACTATGCGAAAAGGCGAAAATGCGAAGAGACGACAAAGTGATACTTTGTCAGACGACACTTTGTCGTCTCTTTGTGTTTTCGCATTTTGTATTTTGAACGCGAAAAAGCGAAAATACGACAGTTGGAATGCGAATATACGACAGATTTTATGTGTCGTATTTTCGCTCGCCTTCTGTCGTATTTTCGCTTTGTTGCCTCGAAAATGCGAAAAAGCGAAACACGACAAAGTCCAACTTTGCCGTCCCTTCGTGTTTTCTCGTTTTCGCATTTTGAGGCAAAGAAGCGAAAAATACGACATGGCTTAAATCAGCCACCATAAAAATGCCATTATTATATATTACAACTTATCCGCTTCCTTAACGGTCACCCTAGGCTTTTTTAAAAAGCACCAGATAACATTTATTTACGATTTCACCCGTCTGTATAAATCGCCAACCAACATTGTAGTACATTTTGTTCCCCAGTTTAGTAATATATTGTGAAATGCCACTCTTTCGACTTGTACTGTGTGCTGTAACTTTAAATGAAAATTTCCATATTTTTTGTACAAATGCAAAAAAAGATAAACTATTTTTCGAAAGAAAGAAGATTATCATATGATATCGTTCAATGTTAAAGTATAACCAATAAGTATTTCTTCATATTACACATATTTCATATGATATGAATAAAATTGTTCGTTTAACGGAGATTTTGCCGTTTTAAGCAGTTTTCTGGCCTTATATTACGTGACAAAAATTCGTTATCATTTCATATAAACATATATTTAACTCTTAGAAATGATATAAATCTCGTCACAGGCTTCCCTATATCATGCCCCTTGACTCGTGTAAAATTCCAGCGGGTCTATGTAAAATGGCGACTTGAGAAAGATCCGATGTTTATTGGTGACGTCATAAACATTTACGTCGCTGCGTCATTAACGTTACGTTGTTTCCATATGATTAACGTTCATTCAAAGCTAATAAAGCGTGAGCTGTACAGACGAGTTTTCTTTCAGTCAACATATATTTAAATGTTTTAGAAGACTTTCATGCTTAAAGGTAAGGATAATGTAATATTTTGTAAATATATATGTGTTACATTAAATTACAAGAATTTACATTATTTGCAGTTCTTGGCTAAAATAACAAACAACCATACCTAATAGTGTAAGCCAATGACGTTAGATATTAATTCAAATGAAAATATACATGCATAAAACCAAAATTCGGGTAAATACTATAATATAACCTGAGAAATTGGACTCAGTTTGTGCATTTCATATATTGATATTTGTTTGAATTGAATAAATACCCTGAACTGAACATTTCCAAATTTCTAACTGGTGTTTTATATCAGTCAGTTCCAATCCAGTCCACAGACTATTTAGCCCAGTCAGCCGGATTGCTTATATTATTTTATTTCCCTTTTGTAAAAGTTACCCATACCCCTTTTCTTTGCCTTACAATATTTATTAAAAATGATTGGGGGAAAGTTTATAGAAAATTTGGAAAACCCCAATTTAAAAAATTATTAGGGAAAGTTTAGACATTTTTGACTTTGTTTTTTTATTTTTCCCCACCAGTTTAAACATAAACCAAAAAATTTTAAAAAGTAAAAGAAAAACTTCCGGTTTTTCAAGTCCCCTTAGAATGTTATCCCAGGGGGGGAAAATGATTTACTTTTTTACCGTGGTGGGTTTCCGGGGCATTCAACCTTGGCAATGTTTAACCCCCAAAATTGCGCCAAGATGCAACCCCTTATTACCGAAAACTTTTGGGAAAAGGGAAAACTTTGGTGGGTTTTAAAAACAAATATAAAAAAAAATGCCAAAAAAAAATGATTTTTTTCAAAACCGCCCAAAAAATCCCCCAGAACAGCCCCTTCTTTCCCTTCAAAAAAACAGTATTTTTCCTTTACAACACACTAGGGTAGTCATTCGAGATTTTTGTAGATACCAAATGGTTTTCTAAAAATTTCTTAATATCCAGATAATAACCTGTCAATAAAACTTTCAAAACCATTGTCATTTTTTATATTTAAGGCTTCCCAAAGACAGTTTCGTGAATTACAAGTTTTTAGTAGTACGATCATGTACAGGAAATGTGGTTGATATTGAATCGACAACGCCTCATACGATATATATTGGTCAGCATCCAATAATGGTGGAACATACATTCAACAAAACAGCATTTGCTGGAAGAGAAGGTACCATTTTACCACTCTTTCGATTATCGAATTAAACATACCATTTATTTATCATTTATCATTTTAAATACAAGTATTACATTAAACATTCAATCCCTTCTTTGATATCAAAAGTTGTGTCCATTCTGATGATGATCTGTTAATATTTTTCTGTGACAGTTAGTAGCTTCAGCTATAATTCATTTCATTATAAGAAATTATTCGGATATGTAAATTATGTACAAGTTCAACTGTGTAGCAAATGGGAATTTTTCGTAAATAACTACAGGTTAAATCAAATTATTTTTTTTTTCGTATTTCGTGAAATATGGAATATATTTTCACTTATCATGATGGATGCGAATGGAATTATATCATGTTGTGTAAATATATATATTCCATACATGTATTTCACTCAAGCGGAAAACAACAATATTCTGATCATTTGTTCATAAAATTTTGAAATCATCTATATAATGATATTATTATAATTATTTTGCTTAATTTCACACTATCAATTTACTGTTATGATAATGTTTTTTACATGTCTATGTTAAATCATTGCAGTATACCCTGAACATAATTGCCCAGCGCCATCTGTAGGACGGAAGGAAACATTTCACGTGCCAAGTCTCAATATTCCACGTGCAGATAAAGTAGGCTTTGTTGTGCCAAAAATCAAAAACCTTCCAAAATACGTGCCACCACGAAACATTGGGCTGATACATTGTAAAAGAATGGTACCCGCCACAGTTCACACAGACGGTATGTTGCCTTTATTTTTATGCATATATTAACAACTACAGATGTATCTTAGTGATAAGAGGGTTGGTAATAAAGGGATTCCACATTGAAATACATTGTAAACTGCTGATATTACATAAGACAATCTAAAGTTGTGACAATTCTTTCAAGATATCCAGAGATGTAGAGAACTTTTATTTGGAAAATGAAGTCCATATTGGTAGTAAAGGCGCAGTGATTGCCTTTAATTTTTTCAAAGAGCTTAAAATCTACTTTATAAAGCACTACAAATTAAGTTGGCTTTAAATTTTTATTCCATTTGTTGATATTTTGAATTTTCTAAGTAATTGTTCTTAGTTTACTTTTAAATCTATAACTATGAAAAAGTTTAAAATTTCAGATATTATCAAAACTGGAGCAGATGTCAGCGCGGATATCCCACCACGTGTAACAAAAAACAACACTCGCACTCCTTGTGCTGTACAGAATGCCAACAAATCTCCAGTTGCTACAGAGTCCATTAGCACTGATAACCTTATTGTTAATATAACACATTCCGTTCATAATGACCAAGACAAAGACAGCAACCTTCCAGGATTAACAGAAAATAACAACGCCGTACGTGTTACAGAGAACATGAAAGTCCTAACTGGTGCTGAGACTAATGATGATATTTCAAGCGCAAATGAAAACAACAAGCTCCAATGTGATACAAACGACAAGGATGACGTTGCACGTGCTACAAAGAACAAGGATGACGTTGCACGTGCTACAAAGAACAAGGATGACGTTGCACGTGCTACAAAGGACAAGGATGTCGTTGCATGTGTTAGCAACGCTCCACGTGCAACAGAGAACAATCATATTGCAGGTACTATTTTAATGTCATAAAGCGAAAGTTTTCTATTCTTTATTACGTTACTCTTTAAAAATTTGCTCCCAGAGGGAGAAGCCAAATTCCATATTGTGAAAACAAAATGTATGCCTTACATGATATTGATTTTCTGTTGAATTTCTCTACGTACCTTTTTAATCAAAATGCTTGTTACAAAACCTTTTAATTGAATTCATTATTTTGTTTATTATACTGAACATTATTTAGTGTCCAGCTTTATTTGTCATCCAGTGAAAACGCTGTATTTTTTTTAAAATTGTGTGTGTTAATTTTCATAGAAGAACAAAAGTCGATACTATATCAAATTCCGTTCATTGTCGCCTACTATTTTCATAGTACTCCATAGAACCGTGTTGTGACGTAATTAAGTGAATAATAATGAGGCCAAATAAAGCTTGACACTAAGTATGTTAGTATTTATCCATAGCTTTTCTTCAGAAATTAAAAACATTCTCCTGTCGATATCTCTCCCGTCGAAGTTTCTAATTTCTGTAGAACAGCACGGATAAACAATAACATATACTTAGATTACATTCAATATTGATATGTAAACAATGTCACATTTATTTCAGGAAATGACGTCATTCACGAGAAAGATTCCACAAGGCAAATGGATGACGACATTACAAAGAAGCTCAGTAACAACGCCGGTCTGTTCAGATTTGGAAAGAAAACCCTGGGACTTGCTGTGTCCGGAATCTCTTTGATTTCTGCCCTTGGATATTTTGCTTTTTTCAGCAGATAAATTTGTAAACCTTAGATAAATGAGAATTATTTGTCAATAGATTTCATATAATCTAAATCTAAGCCTTGGTTTAATTGTGATCCCTTCAAGTTATGAAAAAAAGACAACAAAGTATCACAGACACACACAAATGCATACTATCCATTCTAGAGATTATTAAGTCTTACTGCGCTAAATTTCACAAATGCACGGCCGTTTATATCGTTTTTACAGAGTTTCAAAAGCAGCATGAATATGCGATAAGTCATGTATTAACATTGTAAAAATCATGCATGACAGTCATTATGAGAAAAGACTCTCATTCTTTTGTGAGGAATCTTTTATGGGTTCTTCTCATGTGTCCATGTATGGTATTTTACAGTGTTTATTGTGACTTCCAAGTTCCTAAGTTAAAACCATTTTCATGTTCTGCTTAAGTCGCTGCTAGCGGAAGTGGACATGGCTTGCAAAATACAGTACTACAACCGTCCATCAATATGATCAAGACTTACCTAAATACACAAGTCGAAAAAATATCAATATTGAGGGCCACATGACTGACATATCTTCCCATTACCTCGCAATTTTGAAACTTACATAACTTACATAACTTCCTATTACCTCGCCATATTGAGGGCCACATAATTCACATTACTTCCCAAGTAAGTTATTTGACCCTCAATATGGCGAGGTAATGGAAAGTAATGTAAGTTATGTGGCCCTCAAAATAGCGAGGTAAGAGGAAGTTATGTCAGTTATGTAACCCTCAAAATTGCGAGGTAATGGGAAGCAATGTAAGTTATGTAACCCTCAAAATTTCGAGGTAATGGGAAGTTATGTAAGTTATGTGGTCCTCAAAATGGCGAAGTAATGAATAATTATGTAAGTTATATAACCCTCAAAATTGTGAGGTAATGGGAAGTAATGTAAGTTATGTGACCTTCAATATGTCGAGATAATGGGAAGTAATGTGCGTTATGTGGCCCTCACAATGGCGAGGTAATGGGAAGATATGTAAGTTATATGGCTCTCGAATAGAAGTAATGTAAGTTATGTGGCCCTCAATATTGCGAGGTAATGGGAAGTTATGTAAATTATGTGTCCCTTAATATGGCGAGGTAATGGGAAGTAATGTAAGTTGTGTGATCCCCAAAAATGGGGAAGTAATGGGAAGTTAAATAAGTTATGTGACCCTCAAAATGGCGAGCTAAAGGGAGTTATGTAAGATATTTGACCTTCAAAATGGCGAGCTAATGGGAGGTTATGTAAGATATTTGACCCTCAAAATGGCGAGCTAATGGGAAGTTATGTAAGTTATTTGACCCATAATATGGCGAGGTAATTGGAAGTAATGTAAATTATGTGGCCCTAAATATGGCAAGGTAATGGGAAGTAATGTAGGTTGTGTTATCCCCAAAATGGCGAAGTAATGGGAAGTTATGTAAGTTATGTGGCCCTTTAAATGGCGAGCTTATGGGAGTTATGTAAGATATTTGATCCTCAAAATGGCGAGCTAATGGGAAGTTATGTAAGTTATTGACCCATAATATGGCGGGGTAATTGGAAGTAATGTAAGTTATGTGGCCCTCAAAATTGCGAAGTAATAGAAAGTTATGTAATTTATGTAACCCTCAAAATGGCGAGGTAATGGGAAGTTATGTAAGTTATGTGGCGCACAAAATGGTGAGGTAATGGGATGTTATGTAAGTAAGTTATGTGGCCCTCAATATGGCTAGGTAATAGGAAGTAATGTAAGTTATATGGCCCTCAAAATTGCGAAGTAATAGAAAGTTATGTAAGTTATGTAACCCTCAAAATGGCGAAGTAATGGGAAGTAATGTAAGTAATGTGGCCCTCGAAATGGCGAGGTAATAGAAGTAATGTAAGTTATGTGGCCCTCAATATTGCGAGGTAATGGGAAGTTATGTAAATTATGTGTCCCTTAATATGGCGAGGTAATGGGAAGTAATGTAAGTTGTGTGATCCCCAAAAATGGCGAAGTAATGGGAAGTTAAATAAGTTATGTGACCCTCAAAATGGCTAGCTAAAGGGAGTTATGTAAGATATTTGACCTTCAAAATGGCGAGCTAATGGGAGGTTATGTAAGATATTTTACCCTCAAAATGGCGAGCTAATGGGAAGTTATGTAAGTTATGTGGCCCTCAAAATGGCGAGCTTATGGGAGTTATGTAAGATATTTGACCCTCAAAATGGCGAACTAATGGGAAGTTATGTAAGATATTTGATCCTCAAAATGGCGAGCTAATGGGAAGTTATGTAAGTTATTGACCCATAATATGGCGGGTAATTGGAAGTAATGTAAGTTATGTGGCCCTCAAAATTGCGAAGTTATAGAAAGTTATGTAAGTTATGTAACCCTCAAAATGGCGAGGTAATGGGAAGTTATGTAAGTTATGTGGCGCACAAAATGGTGAGGTAGTGGGATTTTATGTAAGTAAGTTATGTGGCCCTCAATATGGCTAGGTAATAGGAAGTAATGTAAGTTATATGGCCCTCAAAATTGCGAAGTTATAGAAAGTTATGTAAGTTATGTAACCCTAAAATGGCGAGGTAATAGGAAGTAATGTAAGTTATGTGACCCTCAATATGGCGAGGTAACGAGAAGTAATGTAAGTTATTTGACCCTCAAAATGGCCAGGTAATGGGAAGTTATGTTAGTTATGTGAACCTCAAAATGGCGAGGGAATGGGAAGCACTGTAAGTTATGTGGCCCTCAAAATGGCAAGGTAATGGTATGTCTTCAAGTTACGGGACACTCGAAATGGTTAGGTAATGGAAAGTAATCTTAATTGTAATGTGACAAACATCTTCATGCATATACGTTATGCTGACCATTATTTTGATAATATGCAGTAATAGAAGTCGGTTTGAAGATTTATTCAAGTTTGTTATTGTTGTTATGTTATCTTGTTGTGTTATTATTTTTGTTGATGTTTTATTATTTATATAGAACATCTTACTGATGACTCTATTTTAGGATGAATGCTAAGTTAGAATCAGCAATATAGAATGATAGGATGCAAGAAAAAAAGACCTGATATTTCATCATTTTCATCCTTCTTTTATTTGTCATTTTATCTCTCTTTTTTTCATTTTCAAATTATTTATTATCAACTTTTAACTTGGACCAGCAATGATCGTACATATTCCAAGCATCATAAACAATTCCTCGTTTTCGAAAGTCCACAGAAATAGAAACAGGATTCGTATTACAATTGTCAAAGCATGTTTAATGTTAAAAATTAGAGTTTGATATTATTCCAACGTGTCATGACGATTAAATCACGCAAGCAAGCGTATTAAGTTATTCAAAAAAATGTCAGAAGTTAGGATTTGAAACTGTTTCACCATGCCATAACTCTTCCACTATAATGATATAGTTTTCCACCAGCTTCTTCAGTATCGATAGTCTCGATGACCTTCAGGAGGGCTTTAATACAATCTGACGCCTCGGTCGTAGCCTTTGGTCCACCCATATCTGTCTTTATCCAACCTGGATGTATCGCAGCAGCCAGGATGCCGTCCTTCTTCAAATCAATGCTTAGGTTTTTCGTGATCATGTTGAGGGCAGCCTGAATATATGTACATAATTACATGTACATTAAATGTTAGTACAAAGGTATATTTAGTATGCAAATAAATAAAATAACCGTGCAATACAATATACGAATGAAAGACCATTTAACATGACTGAACATTTAACATATTCAAGCATATATGGGACAATTTTAGATTATAAACGAACAACTCTGCCCTCATCCGCCTCCTCGAGTTATTTTCGAATATCTGTAGTCGTCAGTTTTACTTATATACAGTTGCGGTGAAAGAATATTGGATCCACTTGTGCAGACTGTTTCCATGCTACACAGAAATAAGCTATCTCTGCAACAATTTGCACGGAGATAATCTGGCTATATAAACATTTTAAATATCTATCATAAAGTTTTACCAACCTTAGAAGTTCTGTACGAGTAAGCTCCTCCTGTGTCATTTTCAGTTATAGATGCCACACCGGTACTTATATTAATAACACAAGCTTTCTCACTAGACACTGGTCCATCCTTACTAGCTGCCTTGCGTAGTAAAGGAAGAAATGCCTGAAATAAAGATGTAAATTGTTTAAGAAAGTAGACCTTCTTGTATGCATCTACCTTGCACGCAAGTTTATAAATGGCGTTCCAACATACTCAGACGAAGATCATTCATTCATCAAGAGTTTGTATAACTCGAAAATAGTCCGCAAGTTGTTGAGTTTTTATTTTCGGTTAAACTGAAATTTTAAAAAATAAATACATTGCATGCTATTGCTAAGCATTCTACTGAGGAATTTTTTACAAAAGCATATATTTATTTGGTCTCTATTTTAAGGTATTACATTTGACCATAGGTACTATATGTATCTAGAACCTTAATTGGTTCCCTGATTGTCGACATTTAGTAACATATATGTAAAATGTACGAAAAGAAGTACAACATTATTTTACTAATTAAAAAAGCGCTTAAGTTTACATACTTTGGTCAGCATCAATGGTCCTACGGCGTTAATTTTGAAAAGACTTATCATGTCCTCACTGGTTACTGTATCAAGGCTCGAGCGGTTTGCCACACCAGCGTTGTTTATCAAAAGATTCAAACCAGCGTCCCCAACAATATCTTCAACAGTTTTTGCAGCCGAAGTGAATGTCGTTTCATCGTTTAAGTCTGTAAAATGTACATGTAATTCGTGTATATTATATATAAATAATAAGCACTTAATTGTTGACGTTTTTATATGCATACATTATTTGAAATTATGTCAGTGAGTGATGTACCAAGTTTAATACATAAATTGTATCTAAAATCCCTCAATAATCGTAATTTTTTCACTTTTCAGCAAAACGTTTACGGCAAAACGTTGATGTGCGCAAGGTATTATCTTAAAATAGGGGACAATCATGGCTTCACGGAAGATAGGCGCTGAAATAATTTGTAACTTACAGCATATAATGCCACATAACTCG